TCAAAGCTTTGTGTAAGAGTAGTGCTCTATGTTTATTTGTGGTATAAATGAATGAATGATTAGGAGAGGAACTATAGGTAGCTCGGAGTTTCTGGTCAGAAAGCAGCAGATTTTGTTAGATCATCAGCTAAACTAGAACACAGGAAGAGAGGGAGAGACAAGTATAAACGTGTTTGTGGGCACACTGAATGTGAAGTACTGGGGAGGTCTTCCTGAGTACGCAGATGGTGGTAAGTTGGAAATATAGGACTGATGGTTCTCTAAGATTGTCAGGATTAGAAATAAAAAATGTGAACTCTTTAATTTCAAATGATAGTTAAATTATAAGAGCAGATTCAATGATCCACGGAGATAGTGAAGAATATTAAAAGAGATAAAGGAAGAATATTGGAAAATGCCTATATTTAAGGGTGAGAAGCAGAGGGATGAGAAGCAACAGAGAATAAAAAACAAGATAATGGAAGCTAAGAAAAGGAGGATTTTAAAAGCAAACTGCTGTCTAGTAGTATCACTATATGCTACAGTGACATGAAATAGGGAGGGTACTGGGAGGGAGGAATGACATTTTAATACAGCCGGGAGGTCCCTGTTTCATGTGAAAGGGGAAGAATGAACACTGTGATGAGTATCATTGTAGATACACTTGAGCATGTTAGATGCTGCTTTCTGGATTCCACGTTATACCACTTTCCCACTCCTTGATATTCCTGCACATTTCTGGTCCTCGGAAGTCCCCTTTCGCCCTCAGCCTGACCATGGCTTTATTCGATGCAGTCTGCAGCCAGTTGGGAGGCAAACACACACCTGTTGCCTGGGGTGGGAAGCTGTCTGGACCTGGTGAGTTACTTTGCTTCCCAGAAGGCTTGTTTAATTCTAAGTTGTGGTCTACACTGTGAAGACTTAATTGCCCAAGTCTTCTGGGTAAGAAGAGTAGTGGTGTATTCTCACTGGTTCACTCAGCAACATTTATTGAGCACCTACTATGTATAGGAACTGAATAATATCATCTGAAGCTGGAATAACCGATGTGAATCACAGCTCAGAGATATTTTATGCCTTCTGACTTTTAGTTTTCATTAATGAGAAGTCTGCGCTTCCTAATTTTACATTTCTAAGCTCTGTAAATGAGATTAGCTTTGTGAAATAGACAATGTCTACATCATAATGCTTATTTAATGTGTATACAGTAAAAGCAGTCTGTATGTAAAATTTTTGCAGACTGCTTTTATGTAGACCGGAGCATCAGGGAGGAAATGAATCTTGGCTGTTTCCTTCCTGAGACCTTAAAAGGGCCGTCTCAAGTCTTTGGACTTTCATTGCTTATAATAGATTGTTTGATCATTCAAACCATTATATATTAAAATTAATAGCCAGAATCTGCAAATTATAGGGAAGAGGCTCTGAATCAAATGACTTTTGAGATTTTGCGGTTTGAATCTCTGATTAGGGAGTTCAATATCTCATTGCACTGCTGGACCCCCGAGGGAAGGTTCATGTTCAGTCAGCACTATCTTCAGACAACCTGTTAGCAGATTCATTCTCAGTTACTCTAACTTGTCATCGGGCCACATGCAATGTTTCAAATTCTAATGGCTTTTTGTAAGCTAAACTGAGACAGCACCATGAAATAAATGCCTATTAGCAGACATTATATGTCACATATTAGATAACAAAGCTTGTCTATTTTAACAAGCTCCTTTCCCAAGAAAGGGAGATGAATTTGGGATCTTGAGAGAAACTGACATCAGCGAGGAGGTTATCTGAGGGACTCTTATAAAAAGGATCAAATTACAAGGCATATTGTGTCCTGGTTTATCCCCCTATGTTCTGCATTCAACTATGAAATCATTTCAAATAAAAAAATTCAGATTTATGAGCAAGGAAAATATCTAGAGCTCATGCTGCCCTCTGGTGGTCATTTGTACACATAGCCAGAAATGCAAATACCTCAGAACACTTGACAGCATCCAGTTTACTGAAAGTCAAATTGCAGAAACTGACGGAAAAAAAAAACAAAAAACAAAAAACAAAGAAACAAAACAAAACAAAAAAACACTCTTCTTTCCTGTACTTTAAAGTTTCTTGATCATTTCATATTTAAAACAGAATAATAGATACTCTTTGCAAATATTCACCTCTGAAGAGAAATAATTGTCTCTGACCTCAACTCTCAACGATATTATTTGATGTAAGAAATAGGCCTCATGGTCTTAAATGATGGTTAAGATAGATAGATAGGAATGTGGATATGGAGATGGAACTGTTTTTAGTTCACTTCACTTCGATGAGGGTGCTCTGGCGTTCTGGGACCTCCTTGTAACACTTTCTAGGTATCACCGCCTGGAAGAACACAGGCACCTGCTCATCATATTTCTATGTCTCTAGTCTTTTTAATATGGTCAAAAGGCAACACAGAGATACCCTGATAAAAATCTCAGCTGTTATTTCCTACCTTTTTCTGGTTGGTTTGTTCTCATTACTGTCTTTTTTTTTTTTTTTTTAACGGAGTCTTGCTGTGTTGCCCAGGCTGGAGTGCAGTGGTGTCATTTCGGCTTACTGCCACCTCTGCCTCCCAGGATCAAGAGTTTCTCCTGCCTCAGCCTCCTCCCAAGTACCTGGGATTACAGGCATGTGCCACCACGGCTGGCTAATTTTTGTATTTTTTGTAGAGACGGAGTTTCATATGTTGGCCAGGCTGGTCTCAAACTCCTGGCCTCAAGTGATCCTCCTGCCTTGGCTTCCCAAAGTGCTGGGATTACAGGCGTGAGCCATCACGCCTGGCTGGCCCTCATTACTGTCCCTTTTGAGAGTGTATTGTTAAGATCCTGGGCAGGTCAAATCCCATTGTTCTGTGGGCGAAGAGACAGGAGAAATCCCGGGGAAACGCGTTTCTACCCCATCTAACAACACCTGTGTGACTTTATTTGCAGGATAGGATGTTTTTTCTTCCTTTTTTTATTGTATGTAATTCTCAGGCTGGGAGGACAGAGCCAGATACAGCCTGTATCATCCACAAAGAGGGGCTTCCTCGGCAAGCATCAGTCACTAAGGACTCATTTCAAATAAGCCAGGTAGGGATTTTTAGTTTACAGATAAAGATCTGATTGAGAAGACAAAACGAGAGGAAGCTGCTGGTGTTTCTGTACCCTGCTAGGTGCTTTCTAGCCTGTTAGAGTCAAAACAGCAAACACGAATCCCGTAGCAAAGAGATCAATGAATGAATGAGCGAATACTAATACAGATACAATTCACGTTCTAGTGGAAAATGAGTACGCTTTATTTCAGCAATAATGTTTGTCTCTCTTTGGTGAATACACGGACATGTCAGTGTTAAGGAGAGAATTGGAGGCCACCCTGGGCAGGGTGGGGGGTCCTCGAAGAATTGCCACTCTGAGTAGAGGGCACAATGGCTCAGTTTTCTTTTCTGTGTCTACGGTGCTCTACATCTCTGGGCTTTGATGGTAGGATTCAGCAAGTGAGGATTAACAGCATATTGAAAATGACATAAGAAGCCCATAAAAACACTGTGGAGCCTAACTCAGACCATTTGCATTTACGTATTGACTTCAAGGACAGCGTACTGCCATGAATGCATAAGCAGTAGAGCACACACCTTTTTCAGCAGACAGACGGACCTTCATGGGCCAAGCAAGCCCACACACTCTCTCGCTCACACTCACTGTTGGGGTACACCAGGCCTCAAGGGCCCCTGTGGACTCTGAGCTTGCACAAACACATCACCTTGATTATTAATCCATAAATTTGTTTGGGAATATTTTTCAGCCTTCACAAGGAAGGAGAGTCCATCGCATGCTACAACATGGATGAATCTTGAGGATATCATGTCAAGTGAAACGAGCCGGTCACTAAGTGATAAATGCTGTATCATTCCACATGCATGAGGTCTCTAGAGGAGTCAAATCCAGAGACAGAAAGTAGAATGGTGGGTGCCAGGGTCTGGCTGGAGGGAGGATGGGGAATTCGTGTTTAATGGGGACAGAGTTTTGGTTTTGTAAAGTTCTGGAGATGGATGGTAGTGATGGTTTCACAACAATGTGAAGGTATTTAACACTGATAAACTCGATAATCAAAGCGGTTAAGATGGTAAGTTTTACGTTATGTGTATTTTACCAGAAAATAAACAAAACCAGTGTGTATATTCACTCCACAAACGCTTAGTGAATGACTACATGTGTCAAGTTCTATACTGGAAGCTGGAGATGCAAAGATGGAAGAAACACGGCACCTGCCGCAGAAAATGTCATAATGTTTCTATGAAGACATCATCAATTTTGGTGGGTGATTTCAACGTTTCTTTTTTTAATTTCCCTTTTTGATATGTTTTGGTGTGGTCTCAGAAGCAGTCTAATTTTATAATAATTATTCAGCAGGAATAATATGAATGATAACAAAAACCACACTTTGAAATAGTAAATAACTTTTAGTTCCTTCACAATGAACCAGGCTGACTGCTGTAACCGTAAGGGTAATAGATCTTCATGAAAATCCCTCATTTCTAGCACAATAGGGTTTTGCCTGCTATTCTTTTCCCAGTGTGAGACGGAGGAGGGAAAGAAGGGATGGATGGGGTGGGAGGGAAGGAAGGAGGGAGGGAAGGAGTCGGAGGGAGGGAAGGCGTGAAGTGCCCGTCATGATGAGTCCAACAGTAAAATCAATAGGTGTTGTCCACTGACTATCAATTAAGGCACAATTAAGGCCTCTGGGCTTTGATTTTGATCAGGTTGCTGGCAGTTTAGTAGGAACTCACCAAATAAACAATAATTCCAGACAATTGTCCCCCTTGTCATGATTCAGGAGCGTATTTTCATACGAGGTGTAAATGAGGACTTTGCTTTGTATGTGGAGACAGCAGGGGCAAAACAAAACCACCGGAAAGACCCAAGTAGGTGGGAAACAAAGGAATTAAACTGTCCAGCACGAGCACCTGCAGCTCGTCCCTGGCAGACGCTTCAAAGGCACTTGGTTATTTACCAACTTACTGTGGGATAGGGGTGGGAGCAGAATACAGTGTACTTTCGGATGATGCCGTTCAGCTTGAGAGGGGGAAGCCAGGACACAAAGACCATGGAGGCTGAGGCCGCCGCTGCCTTCACGCCCGCGGGAGGACCTGGAACTGGAAGAGCCGTGTGTTTAGTCACAAGGTGGGGCCTCGACTTGGGCTTGCGGGCCCACGCCTCCCAACACGACCCCACTCCACGCTCACTGTTCAGCTCTTTGAGGACGAGCGTTATAGGTTCTGCTGTGTCCCCCCAAATGCAAACGTTGAAGTCCTAACCCCCAGGACCTCAGAATGACACTGTTATTGGAGGTAGGGTCTTTATAGAGGCAATAGAGTTAAAATGAGTTTGTTAGTGTGGCCTCTAATCCAGTACTTCTGGTGTCCTTATAAAAAGGCCAGTTTTGGCACAGAGACAGACATGTATAGAGGGAAGATGATGTGAAGACACAGGGAGAAGACGGCATCTATAAGCCAAGGAGAGAAGCCCAGAACAGATGCTTGTCTCAAAGCTCTCAGAGACAACCAGCCCTGCAGACACCTTGATTCTGGACTTCTGGCCTCCAGAACTCAGAGACAGCAAATACATTCCTAATGCTGGAATCTGTGGTTCTTTGTAGCTCTAGGACCTAATACAGTCAGTTCTAGTCCCTGTTGTTCTGGGGAGCCTTCCCAGCCCATTTCAGTGCCTGGAGACTTCCTGCCTCTGGATAACTGGACAATTAACTTCTGGATCAGTCTTATTTCTGCTGCAGTTTTTGGCTTTGAATGTACTGGGGATGAACCTTTTGGATCCTGAATTTGAGAAGCATGAGGGTGAACTACCTCAGCCATGGAGACCCCACCCTCCCTCACCCCAGTCATTTTGTAATGGCACCACTTTGGGCTCAGGAGAAATGGAAATATTGTTGATGAATAGGGATTATTGTGTCAAAGATTCACAGTATCCATGTAAGACAAACTCTCCCCTGTAAACCAGCTAAGAAGGCAGAACATGGTGGCAGCAATATTAAGCATGATTTGGGAGTAAGATTGAAGGCATGCCCCACTCCTCTTGTTCTTTTATTTTCCAGGTTGAAGAGGTAGGGGGTGGGGTGAGATGACCAAGACACAGAAGATGCCAAAATGTCATAGGTGCCAGTGAGAAAGGCATCAGAGCTCTTGCTTTGTTCCTCATTAACCTCACTGTCCACATGGAGGGCAAGCACATTGATGGAGGCACTGAAATTCAAGCCAATATAAGTCCCTTGCAAGCCCCTGGAGAAGGCTGTGAGTCTTTTACTGCTTTGACAGCAATGCAACTGCTCAGTAAATAGTTGTGGAGTTGAATGTGCATCTCATAATTGTCATCTTGACTCTTCTAAGTCTGCATAACAAAACCAAGAGCTCTGGTGAGAACTAACTTGGGTTGGATATAGTCACCATTTGAAAATATAAAATCCAGTTTTGGCAAGTCTTGCAGACAGTGGAAGGTCTAGAAAAGGTAACACACATAAGTGATAGATCCTGGATTAAGAAATTTCATGAGAACAAACCCCTATCAGGTGAGGGCAATGTCTAAGACATCCACAACCTAGTTCAGAGCTGCCAGGGCTCCTCCTGAACAAGGGCAGAGTGAACGTTTCCTGAGGATTTTAATCCTAGTAGACACCTAGCTTAGCCAACACTCTCAGTCCTTTCCATAAAGCCCTTGGTTGGTGTTCACCACAGTGACCACTCTTGCTGGACATCTCCTCTTTAGGAGGCCAAGTAGTTTAGCATCAACCAGTTGAATGGCTGCTGAAGAGGAGTCAATTCTGTTTCCAACCTGTTCGTGACAAATGTACCTGTCACGGGTAATACTGTAAGTTAATTCATTACATAAACCAATGAAATTCAAGTGCAAGAGAAAGCTGTTTCTATGACAGTTAATGGGACTGCTTTGGAAAGGCTTCCTTAGAGGTAAGTTAGAAAGAAATTAAAGAGAGAAAGAAATCAAGGAGGGAAGAACAAAAGGAATGAAGGAGGGAAGGAAGGAAGGAAGGAAGAGGGAAGAAAGAAGGAAGGAAGGAAGGAGGGAAGGAAGAAGGGAAGACAAAAGGAAGGAAGGATAAAAAAAGAAAAGAAGAAAAGAAGGAAGGAAGGAAGGAAGGAAGAAAGGAAGGAAGGAAGAAGGCTGATCTATGCTTGGTCAGGACCACTGAGAAGAATGGGACATGTGGATTTGTCTCCATTTGCAAATAGATCGTTGATAAATGGTCACATGCTCTTGAGACACCAGTTGAAAAATGCAGATGCTACACATTAAATACACAGTTCACGGAGTAAAAGATGGCACAGAACTCCAATGTTTTCACCCAAAACTTGAAGTGATCCTAAGTCATGTGATTAGAGAATGATTAGGGAGTGAATACATATTTATATGTATTAAGCTAAAATGCAGCATTTCAGGTACTTCTTGGCCACTGTAAAGTTTGGCGATTCCTTGTTTCAACTGAGGATTTCCATGAGCACGCCTGTGTCACACCCGATCAGGGGGCTTTGACTGCACCATCTAAACTCGCAGTTGACTCCTCCTACATGGGTTTATGATCTATCTTGCACAGTCTTTCCTTGTATGGTTACTAGAACTTTGTACAATAAAATAACAACGTAGAAGATGTGAAGAACATGGCATTTTGGAAACGTTTTCTGGATGACTGAGCTAATCTTTTCAGAGCTAGAACTTAACATTTTCATTCTGGTTTGGACAATATCATAAAGCTTAAAGGTGTGGGCCCTGGAGCCCCACTGCTGGTTTCATGCGGCTCTACCCCTTAGTTCCATGTCCTGAGCAAGTCGATTAACTACTCTAATAATCTTTAGTTCCCTCATTTATAAATCTACAATAATTGTGCTGGCTTATGTTTTTGCTGTTAGAATTACAAGAGATACTTCATGTAAATGATTTATTTATCGTTCTCTGTAGAGTAAGTGCTAAATAAGTTCTAGCTATCATCTCTAATAACCATCCTTATGTCCTTAGATTAAATGTCATTAAATGATACTAGCCTTTACTTTGTGACTCAGTGGTGAATGACAAACACCAGACACTGAGAGTTGCAGAAGACAGAGATGGCAGATGATGGAGTAAAAAATGGTATATGTCTGTCTGGGACATATTTTCTTGAAACACTCTTAGTGACCACACCCATTTTGGTAATCTGAGTTTTTCTTACGAAGGTCAAAACAAGCTTGGGAAGTTTTCATGAATTCCTGGGCATCGTAGAGAGAAGTTCTGCATACAAATTTAATTGATTGCAGTAAAGAATGTGGCCTTCAGAGAATTCTCTCTTCTACATTCCTCCAATGCACCCGGACATCCCTTCTGAGCTGTAAATGCTTCTGTGTCTCATGTGTCCAGTTGGCTGAGACGTTTCCACCAGGGGTCACACAGGCACCTTAGGCCAACATAGTCACAACAGGGCTCACCATCTTCTATCCAAACCTGCGCTTCTCTTGCCCCATCTCAGGAAATGGGCTCCCCCCATCTTCTCAGTTGCAAGAACCAGAACCTGGAATTCCCTTCCCATTGTCACTTGACGAGCCCTCTGGAGGTCCACATGGACATGACAGGTCAGCAGCTGGGCTCTCCCCCTGATTCGCTGGTGCTCCCCAACACTGAGCTCTGTTTCAGTTCCCTGAACGTGGTCTGCTTCTCCCACCCTGGGCCCCTGGGCTGCCACGATCCAGGGCCTTCGGATGCCTCTGTCTGGACTTTTCCCCACCCTCTGCCTTCTCCCTGGCAACTCCTACTCATCTCTCAGGGTCTAGCATGTATCATTTCCTCCAGGAAGTCTTCCCAGATCACCAGCTTCGGTCAGGTCAGGGCTCCCATGTCTCTGTCAAGACTCTTCTTCATCATTGCACTTGACACAATCCACTCAGGGGTGATCTATCAACATCTGTCTCCCCTACTAGCTTGCAAACCCCACCACACCCATCCTGTTTCTCTGCATCTTTAGTTCCTGGGCCAGTATCTGGAACATACTAGATCCTCAATACATATCTTTCAAGAGTGGAAAACTGATTTCATTCGTGTCTGTGTGGTAGGCAGGATTCTACGATGGGTCCCAAGATCCTTGCCCTCTAGTGTATGTGCCTTGGTGATTCCTTCCCCTTGAATGGGTGTGGCACCTGTTACTACGATGGACAGAACCCTCCCATGGGCAGGTTGTGCCATGTGGCAAAGGTGAAGGGCTTGTGCAGGTATTGCTGAGGTCCTAATCACTTGACTTTCAGTTAATGAAAAGGAAAGTTTCCTGAGTGGGCTGGGTTTAATCAGATGCGCCCCTTAGAAGAGGAGATGGAGGTCAGAGGGAGACAGAAGAGGTCAGAGGGATTGGAAGCCATGTGAGGCTTTCCTATTGGCCTTGAAGGAGGAAGCCGCCATGCGGTAGGGGGTGTGACAGGGAGTACCAGGCAGCCTCTGGAAGCTGGTGACTCCAGCCCCATAGCCAAAAACAAAAAACAAACAAACAAACAAAATCCCACCAATAACCTGTGAGCCTGGGAAACCCTGACCTCAGATGAGAGCACAGCCCCAGCTCACACCTTGATTCATCTGTGGGACCCTGAGCAGGGGACTCAGCTCAACCAGACCTGGATGCCTGACACTTGGAAATGATGAGATAAGACATTTGTATTGCTTTAAGGTGTTAAGGTTGTAGCAATCTGTTCCACAGCATAGAAAATAAATACAAGTGGGTAAGCCCTCTTGTAACATACCTTAATGTAAAATACCAAAATCATTTTTCTGAAACAGCTTTGGTTTGAAGTATGAATATCAGATAGAAGTCTGACTAAACACCCACACAAACACTGCAGTCAGCTTCATTTTTTTTCACCATCATTTTTCTGCTCTTAGTAAACAGCCACAGGCCGGTGTGTGTGTATGCGCATGTGCACACACAAACATGCATGTACATATGTGGTACACCATGGTAGCCAGATCTTTCTGAGCCCACAACTTTTCAGTGGCTTTTCCTGAGCCATGCCGTGCCGTGCAGATGCTACAATCCTGGAGGGACATGTCACGTTCACAGCTGTCATCTCACCAAGCAATGCACATATGTCCCTTTTCTCTTCCCATGTCCATAAGATTCTGGTATTTTTGGCCTTTCCTCTCACTAGAGCAGGAGTGTTCAAACATTCTTTAAATGTTTGACTGATCCTTTAACCAAACCATCATGTGGAAACCCAGCACATAACACAAGTAGAAGTGGGGTGGCTCTTGAAGCCAGGGTCAGGGAGAGAATGGAGACTCTCACTGGGCCTCTTGCTTACCACTGGGGCCCACCCAAAAACCCTTGGGCTGTGTAAGAACCTAGTTTGAGAACCACTGCAGTGGAGGGAGTGTGGAAAGCCACGTGGTAGAACCTCTTCTAGGACATCTTGTGTGTCGTGTTGCTGGTATACCTGCCACTGCACAGGGCACACTACCAAAGGCTGTAGAGCCCCGGAATCCTAAGCAGTGTTGATTGGTTGTACTTCCCAGTGTCTACTGAGGGGCAGCACCGCTGGTGGCTATGCAAACACAACATGCAATCTACCCCCTTTCAGGTCCACTGAGGTGTGGTCATATAATCACCCCAGCACACGTCACAGGCACATACTATCCACACCTTCATAAGTATGTACGGCTCAAGGTATGGGTGGTCGGAGGATTCAGAGGTATCTGGATGTCAGCTTATATTTTTGCTTCCTCTTAGCTCTACTTTCAGGTCTCCTCCCAATAAGACTTGCTAATTGACGGTGGGGAGGGAGTAGAGATGACATATTACACCTGCTGCTGGCCCTCTCACACGTGCCTTCAGAGTTATGTGCATTAGCGATGTGTTCAGTCAATATTTGAACTTAACTATCTCTATTGATACATATGCAAAGTTTACTCTTGTGTAAAGGGATCAAGGCTGAAACTAGCTTTTGCCTTCAGCGTGAAAATAGCAATTGGAAGATTAATAGATTCATTTTGTTTGTGTTCTCTTTCCTTATGGCTTGGCTCATATTATAGTAATGGCAAATAAGATGGCATTAGGATTTCACAACTGTTTTAGAAGTCAGGATTAGTTGTTCTTGCGCTCAAAAACAGAAAGCCCGATCACCAAGTCATCCTTTGTGTTTCTGCAGCAATAATAGGGGTACAAGTTCTCATTGATAGAGTAGTACTGGAAAGAGAATGTGAACTGTGAACAGTTGTCACAGACCCCAAAAATATCTCCATGCACCTGAGTCTACATTTATGGATAAAAGACAATATCCATGGGCCCTGAGACTCTGACCACAGACATGAGAATATGTCCATGCACCTGAGACTATAGTTATGGATACGAGACTATGTCCATGGCCCCGAGATTATGACCAGGGACATGACAATATGTTCGTGGACCTGTGAATATGTCTGTGAGCCCAAGAATCTTTACATAGAGGTAGAGAAACTACTTAAAGCACAGACTTGTTCTCTAAACAAATATTTCTATTGCAAATAATCTGCTGCAAAAGTAAAATTTTGCCTTTATTAGGGTTTTCTCTTTTCAGTATGATCAGTGACCTAATAACACAGTTTAAGCCTCCAGGCTCCCTAGATTAGGAAGACTGGTGCAGGACGTGTGTCTGGCATAGACAACTGAATCGGATGGTCCCTGTTAATGTAGCTGTCTTTCTTTGCTTGCAAGAATATTGATAAACACTGAAACTTCAACCTGAGCCTAAAATAGTGTCTTATTGAGCAAGAACTGAGTAAATGTTGGTAATTATCATTTTACTGGAAATCTATCTGTATTTTTACACAATTTAATTGAACTTGCAAGTGTAATCCAAACTTCAAAATTACAAAGCTTTCTCACTGAGGTATTAATAGGATCTGTGATCAGTTAGACTGGGCATTTGTTCTTTGAATTGGCCTTTGTCCCTTCTTCCAATCAGATAAATAAAATTGCATTTAATTCTGTAAACTGCTGGAATGCCTAATTATATTAGGTATTGAGTCTACAAAAGTGATTGACACAATTCTTCACCATTTCTAAATTATTGAATTTTTCATGTGAACCTGGGAGATAAAGTGATATTATTCTAGTTTTTCTCCTCTTCCACCCAATCTTCACTCCACCTCTTTTTTTTTTTTTTTTTTTTGAGATGGAGTCTCACTCTGTCACCCAGGCTGGAGTGTGTTGCATGATCTCAGCTCACTGCAGCCTCTGCCTCCTGGGTTCAAATGATTCTCCTGCCTCAGCCTCCAGAGTAGCTGAGATTAGAGGCGCCCACCACCACACCCAGCTAATTTTGCATTTTTAGTACAGACAGGGTTTCACCATGTTGGCCAGGCTGGTCTTGAACTCCTGGCCTCAAGTGATCCACTACTCCACTTCTTTTTGAAAATACACACTTATCCTAAAGAAATATTGACACTCAGTTCTGCATAGTCCTTGTTCCATACCACCAGCAAAAGTGGGATCCACGGCATCCTCCTTGGGGTAACTGGGGCACCCAAGGCAGGGTTTTCCATAGTCAATCCCAGCTCCACACACTATCAGCACTGGAGACAAAAGCAAAGCATAATTGACTGACAAATTAGACCTTGGGCCTTGGGGTCAAGTTTTGAAAGAGAACTCTATGATTCTTAAAACTAGAATATTAATTTAAAATTGATCTAAAATTGTGAAATTAATAAGGATCTGTGAAGAGTCTTCCCTTCTTATTGGATTTCTGTACATTCTTCTAAAAATGCAGATGCAAAACTTTTTGTGGATGATCAATTTGCTCTTTAAATAATTATTCCAGTGACATTTGCATTATTGCTTAGCAATGTAAAAAAGAGTATTTCACTCCTGCTCTGAAGGAGTGGAGAGCAAATCATCAAATATTGAGTGTCAGGAAGCATCCCACTTTGTGGCAAGCAGGTGTTTTCGGATATCACTTCAGCTCTCATACATTGGTTCTGTGCAGGCTGATTGCTACAGCAGATTATCCATGAGGACAATCCAGTCCAGAGAAGCTTAGGTAAGGTGCCCAAAGTCCCACAGGTAGCAGGTGACAGAGCCAGCATATGCACAGCTCTGTGTCTATTACATTTTTAAAAAATGAAATTATGGCTGTCTTTACTCAGGACTTAGCTTTCTAGATATCTCTATTGATGTGTGACTTCCTAATGGCATTACAGTTGAAACTTAGATTTCCCTAAATAATCCAATTTCTTACAGCAGAACTGGCTGACACCCGCACATTCCCTGGAAGAACTACCTGTGCATTATAGAAAAAAACTAAAGCAAACGAGGATTAGTTTGGGTGTAGACATCATAATGTGAGAAGGGCTACAGAAGCAGCAAAAACACCAGGTGACAGTGGATGCCTGGGGCAGCTCAGGAGAGCCAGGCCTGGCTTGCCAAGGTGAGAGCAGAGAGTGAGGTGGAAGATGGCAGGCTTAGAATAACAGAGAGTCATGGTCAGGGGCAGAAAGGCTGAGGAGAAGAGTGTATCGTGCCCCCTGAGCAGGTGTTCTTTGCTTCCATCAGAACAGATACGGGATGGAATAACAGCATTTTTGATACTCTAGTAGTGGGGGAGACGGCATAGACATCAAACCTGCCCATACGTGGGAGGCGACCGGCAATGGCCAACAACTCTCCCGCCCCTATGCTCCCTGGGGAACAGAGTCCCGGCAAGATGACAAAAGTTGCAGAGACAATCCAACACAGCATTTAGGTCTGCTGATGTCTCATCTCAACGTATACATCTGTGCTGGAATATTTTGGGAAGGTTCTATGTGGGCATCAATTTGACATCAGTTGCTCCTTCCTTTATTAAGGTGGAGGCTACTTTTCTCACTACCACGGTAGTATTTATCAGAACTTATCTGTTCCTCAAACAGGCTTGGCTAACGCCCCTCAGGGTTTCCCTTAAAATAGTACAGAATCTTTATTGTACGGTTTTTGTAGGTTTGGGTAATAGTCACATAACCCAATCCAAATTGTAAGGAACAGCAAGAATTATTGTTGTAGAACAAAATGAGCAGCAATTTAAATTTTTACTAAATCACCATGAATTCTTGCAAGAATTAAAAAAAAATTAACATGAAGTTCTCAAATTAAGGACTTATTCTAAAGTGTTTCAGCTGGCAAAGAATAATAGAACTTCAGCCTGTACATAATTTTCAAGAAGTGGAAGGATGGATTTAATCAGAGCTTACACTAATAACTGAAGAGCCACTAAAATTATTCTAACAAGATACAAAACATGTATGACAAGTATTACAGCTCCAGGATAAAATGAATTTGTTTACAATAATACTTGGCCAAAGGAAAAAAAAAAAGAAAGAAGAAAAAATAGAGAGGAAGAAGCAGCAATGGATTAGACACATCAAGCAAAGGCAAGAGAGGAAGCTAATACTCTAAATTGCACTGGGATATTTTGGGAAGGCAGCAAAGGTTTGCACTGAGAATAGCCTGATGAACTGCAGGGTAAAGGCAAATGCGCTCCCTCTGACCCAGCCCTTCCAGCAGTTGCCCACCCGTCTCTCACCATCCTCTTTGGTCCGGGTGAAGATCTGCTCACTCCTGACCCCGTCTCCTGCGCGGGTGAAGGCCAGCACCTGGATGCTGTAGTTGGTGTACTTTTCCAGCCCGTCCAGCTCCAGGGAAGGCTGTGTGGTGGTGATGTTTTTAATCTCACCCAGCTCTGGAGGACAAGAACAAGAAAACAAAATCCCACTTCTGAGCCTATTTCTGCTCATTTTTCCGTGCTGTCCCCACTGACTGTCCCTGTGCCATGCCATCACCCGTCCAGCCACCATCTGGACATGGGAATTCCTCAAAGGGACTGTGCACAGTTATCCTGTGAGCTCATGGTGTCATGTGGCCCTTTGGAAAAGATCATTCACACCAAACTGCTCCAGAACACAAGGCAGAACGTTGGTCTGGAACACGAAGCAATTCGCTCCAAGTTAAGTGTTATCAACCCAAGGCCAGCACCAGGGCTGCCACTCAGCCTTCAGCAGGTGCTAATGAGCAATGTCTCCTGCACCCCGAGCAGCACACTTAGTACCACACACACACACTGCACACTCGGCGGCACACGCGCACTGCACACTCGGCGGCTCACACGCACTGCACACTCGGCGGCACACACACACTGCACACACGGCAGCACACACGCGCACTGCACACTCGGCGGCACACACACACTGCACACACGGCAGCACACACGCGCACTGCACACTCGGCGGCACACATGCACTGCACACACGGAGGCACACATGCACTGCACACTCGGCAGCACACACACACTGCACACTCGGCAGCACACACGCGCACACTGCACGCACAGCAGCACACATGCACTGCACGCTCGGAGGCACACACGCACTGCACACGTGGCGGCACACACGCACTGCACGAGCAGCACACACGCACTGCACACATGGCGGCTCACACGCACTGCACACTCGGAGGCACACACACACTGCACACTTGGCAGCTCACACACACTGCACATGCGGCACACCCACACTTCACACGCGGCGGCACACACGCACTGCACACTCGGAGGCCCACATGCACTGCACACGCGGCAGTTCCACTGCTAACTATTCGTTAGGAAGCTTCTGCAAGCTGAGGGGTTTTACCGTTATTTTAAACAAACTCTACTTTAACATACATGTATTTTTAAGTACCTAACTTCATCTCAAATATCTGATCTACCCTCTTTAGCAAGTTTCCAGTCTACAATACAGTATCTTTTACTACAGTCACCACTTCCTACATCAGATCTCCAGAACCTACTCATCTTGCATAACTGAAACTTGGTATCATTTGGGGGTGGGGGAAGAAAAGGGCAACTATCTGAGGGGGTGGACCTGCTGTTAATTAGCTTGATTGTGGCGAGCATTTCACATGGGATACATACGTCAAAACAAGCTGCATGTTTGAAAGATACACAATTTTTGTCAATTATACCTTTAAAAAGCTGAAAAGATAACATATTTAAATTAGAAAAAAATACACCTGCGCTAAACTGAGTGGCTCAGCAAACCCCTCTGTTTACCTGGAGTGAACTCTCAGCTTCAAGCCTGAAGGGACATGCGCATGTGTCAGAAATTTGCTGTCAGCTAAAAATGCTTCACTTTCAGGAGTGGGATCAACTAATAATATTCACAGATGGAACACTATGCACTCTCGTCCCCAGCACACGCTACACGGCCATTTGAGAAAACTTACCAGGGATGTACTTCCTTGGGGTTTGGCTGATGGGTTTTGAAATGAGTCATCTTCAGAGCATGAGAAGGGTCTGAGAACTGTTTCCCTAGGGGAAGGGGCTGTCAGTGACACATTGGTACCCAGAGCAGGTCGGTTACCCCGAGAGACCAGCAGGTCCGGGGAGTACCTTGTGGAACAGGTCTGCTTTGGCTACATTTAGAGGGCAATGCTAGCTGCCTGTCAATCTCTCTCACTTTCCCTGGCCTCCGTGTAGGGAGTGGACGTGACGTGTGTGCCTGCCTAGGTGCCAGCGCTATGCTATTCTAAGTACAGATAGTAACTTATGCGACCAGCAGAGTTATTCCATTACTTTTGCAACTCATTCATTTTACAGACAAGGAAGTCAAGGGACAGAGAGGATCAGGGAGCCCAGCACAGTGGCTGAGGGCACAGGCTGCAGATGTCAGCTGCTCTCCTCCGTCGCTCTGGGAAAAAGCAGAAAATGGGCTGAAAATAGAGGCACCCACGAGCCGTCGTGTCTGCCAGATTAAACGGGCTTTTGCTTTTTGCCTGCCCGGTTTTTCCTTCCTGTTCGTTGTTTTTCTTTTCTCTTGTGTGTCCAGGATATTTCACAGAAGTTCACAAATGAATAGCCCTGTATTTTGTGATGAGGATGACTGCGGAATGTCTTTTGTTCATTTTAATTTTTTGTCGCCAAAAGGATCAACGTGGAATGGATACAGCATTAAAGGAGAGTGGCAAATACTGCATGGGATGACTGAGGCCTGTCCCTCCCATGCCAGAGAACCCCTGTGCCTTCTAGGAGTTGCAAGAAGAGGGGTAAAGGGGCTCCATGTGGCTCCCACAGTGCAGGCCCCAGTGGGAGCTGAAGGCCTGGGACCACCAGAAGCAGTTCTGTAGGCTGGGGCTTTGCTGGGGAGAGAGCAGGGTGAGGCTGGTCCAAAGACATGCCTTTGGACTCCTGTCTTCTAGGGAGGCCAGCAGGGTGCCAGCTGTTAGAGGTCACAATTTGGAAATCTCAACAGAGGGCTTATGAAAATGAGGAGAATGTCTGCGCATGTGTGGTCACCAGGCAGTCAAAATATCAATACTTCATTGCCCCAGATGGATTGGAAATTCTCATCCCTGAAGGAAGGGTCTTTCCATATTCAATTATATTCCTTTTCCTGAATGCATTTAATGTAAGTCTTTTGGATTAGGATAAAAAACCCAAATGTAACCAGACATGGTGGCTCATGTCTCTGGTCCCAGCTACATGGGAGGCCAAGGTGGGAGGATTGCTGGAGCCCAGGAACTGGAGGCTGCAGTGAGCTGTGATTGTGCCACTGTCCTCTAGCCTGAGTGACAGAGCCAGACCCTGCCTTTAAACAAACTAATTAAAAACTCAAATGCTAATAGACAAAGTTTAAATATAGAATTCATTAAGATCTTTTCAGATTTAGAAACTTCACTGTCAAAGATCACACACACACATTCCTACAGATATACACACACACAGTCAATAAAAATACAGCTGAGGGGAGGGGCTGGTCAGGGCAGGGTGCTGGGAGCTGGTTATGAGACTTTGATGAAGGTTTTTTTTTTCCTCAAGAGTGCAGGGTGTCCACCTCACAGGGAAGGTAGGATCATTTCACAATATAGGAGAAAGCTGTGACCCTCCGGCCACGCAACTCTTGAATCAGACAGAATGAGGAAGAGGAGCCTGGTGAGGAGGGAGAAGGGCAACCTGGCCTCTCTGATCTTCTTAAAGAGAGCAAACACATGGCCGGGCACGGTGGCTCACGCCTGTGATCCCAGCACTTCAGGGGGCTGAGGCGGGCGGATCACGAGGTCAGGAGAACAAGATCATCCTGGCTAACATGGTGAAACTCCGTCTCTAACAAAAATACAAAAAATCAGTCAGGCATGGTGGTGGGTGCTTGTAGTCTCAGCTACTTGGGAGGCTGAGGCAGGAGAATGGGCTAAACCCAGGAGGCGGAGCTTGCAGTGAGCCGAGATCGCGCCACTGCACTCCAGCCTGGGCAACAGAGCGAGACTCCATCTCAAAAAAAAAAAAAGGAAACACTTAAAACAAAATGATTAAAAATGCTAATAGTTAATATGCTAATTAGAATTAACATTTAGATGTTTACTCATTAGAGGGTTCAAGTCATTTTGATCAACTAATTTATCATGAACCATGAAGACAAAAGCAGTCAAAACCCCAATTCTAAGATTTTGAAAACCACCTGAGCCAGAGTTGGCCCTATTTGCTAGAACGCCTCATAGACGCTGAATGAAGGGTATTTTCCTGATGACAGATACTGGGTGACTAGCAGATATGGAAGAAATAAAAAGCAAAGGATGAAAAAAAAGAAAGCCAGATACAAAACTGAGTGTTTAGTTTGCCATTCTTTTTAGTTCTTTTTCTTTTTAAACGTGAATTTCTACAGTCGATCTTCCACGCCCCATAGAGCTGTTTAATACATACACACACACACACACACACACACACACACACACGTTAACTGAAGTGCACTGTTCAGTTGAGGCCATGAGGGGAATAAAATTAAAAATATATATGAAATAAATATAGGTATCAGATTTTTTCTATTACAAATTTTGTTTTAAACAAAATAGTTTTGTGTATTTATTTATATCCTGCCTCATTCTCAGAGGGTTTTAAGGCAGAAAACAAAATAGGTGTGGGAATAGCTTCAGAAGCAACCCCCAGCTGCCTACGTACACTAGTTGGCACCTAAATATTGCTTCCTTTCCGAGTTTACCATTTTTGTCATGAAGGAAGATGGATGAGATGGAAGGTAGCAAAAATTCAAAGGAAAACGGTAACTTTTCAAAGGATACAATTGTCCTAGCAATCTCAAATAAACTGTTTCTGTCAGGCCTCAACCATGATTTAACTTTCTGACCATGAAAAAAAAAATCAGAAAATCCATCAAAGTATTGTTTATTTAACCTGCCGTATCAAATATACTAACCAGTTTTATTTCATCTGATCATAGTAACAACAGAATTCTTTCTTAGACATATTTTGGAAAGTATTCGGGTTATTGCTAATTACAGTGGTAGTAACGATATTTGCCTCTCTCAGCCTGTGTGAATGTGTGGTGTGTGTGTGGTATGTGATGTGAATGGTGTGTGTGCGCCTGTGTGTGTGGTATGTGGGTGTATGGTGTATGTGTGTGGTATATGTTGTGAGTAGCATGAGGTGTGTGATGTGTGGTGTGGTGAGTGGTGTATGTGGGGTGTGTGTGGGGTATGTGTGGTGTGGTGGGTATATGTGGTGTAGTCTTATACACATCTAGATGTGTATAAGAGACAGCACACGCACTGCACACTCGGAGGCACACACGCACTGCACACTTGGCGGCTCACACACACTGCACATGTGGCACACCCACACTTCACACGCAGTGGCACACATGCACTGCACGCACAGCAGCACACATGCACTGCACGCTCGGAGGCACACACG